ATATCGGTGCATAGCGCGTTCCTCAGCGATCTGAAATGCTGCAGCTCGCTGCCTCCAACGGACCTGGACCCTGCCTCCATCAGTGTTTGCAGCCCACCATTGCGGGAGGCGCAACTGGATAAGTTGAGTAAGTGACCCGTCACCCCTGTGTGTCACCTATGTGCCGTAGGCTCTTCGAAAAAAAAACTTGCATCGCGGAAGATTGTAGGGTGACGCTTAGGTCACTTAGTCAACATTTCGATACGCCGCTCCCGCAAAGGTGGCTGCAACACACCAGAGGCAGGTCCAGGTCAATTGTAAGTAGCTAGCTGCAGTATTTCACATCGCTGAGGAAGGTGCTAAGCACTGAAATATCCAAAGGAGAGAAAATAAAAATTTCTCTGCGGAAACTTCTGGATTATTTCGAATTATTTCGGATCTTTGGTGTTTTTTGCAATAAAAAATGGAGCTTTTTTAGGTTTTACATTCAGATTCTGATGAGGCTCCGGGACAGCACAGTACTAAGAACCAGAGGTTTGTCTGCGTCAATCGCATCCGTGAAAATGCAGTGTTCTAGAAACTCAGCTGCATAAAGATACTAAAGTATCCACGTAACTTTACTAGATATGTATACCGCCCCCGGTGAGGAATACCTGCGTCCCCGACGGAGCCTGCTGGAGGTTTGCAGGCAGGGCACGTCGTTCGTAGGGAATCCGCAGCGTCGTATTTGGTCGCTGAGGCTGCGTTCATACCGTGCGACGTAGTCGTCAACGTCGACGTAAACGACGAAACGACGACTACTTCGCGAACATTAGATACGTATCGATTATCGAAAACGACGAAACTGACGATTTCGGCGACTGTGCCAAGAATAAGCTTTTCGTAGATGGTTTTTCCCCACAACTTTTTTCACATCACTTATTTATTTCCTTTTCTGTTTGTAAACAATTTCCCTATCTCCTTCCATCCTCTTGAGTGACCTTACAACCTATCTTCTTCACAGTTTTCGAGAAAAATACCATGTAAATTGGCACGTGGCTTACGTGGAATCGAAGTGGTTCCCGGTATATGTCGTTATTATAGTATATAGTAATGGTCTATAGTGTATAGTAATCGAGAAAATCAATCAAAAAATTTCTTAGGAATTTTCGCAGTTGAAGCAAAATAAGGAGGGAACCCAGTAATTGGGAGTGGGGACGTTCTGTCGGTGGTAACATTCGAGCTCTCCGTGCGACACACACTTTGAAATGTACAATAGTGTCTTCTCATTTTCAGTGCTACCCATGACTCTGCATATGCCCTTCCGGGTGTTAAGGACTCATCCGAATTATTCAACGTCACCCATTGGATGTCGCAACTGCGGTCCTTAGTGATATGGTGCAGCACCTCACGGTTAAAAGTCTGTAGTAAGCAAGAGGGACCAGATATTGGTAGATAATGACTGATATTGGGCTTTTTCAACTCATTTGCAATCCACACGTGTTGCCAGTTGGGCATTGCCATATCACTCGTCCGCTCTAATCTTCGCGAGGTAGTCGTCGGTTTCGTCTGTTATGCAGCTTTCGTCGGTTTCGTCCGTTACGTCGGATCGATACGTATATAATCTTCGCGAACTAGTCGTCGAAAACGTCGGTTACGTCGCTTTCGTCGGTTACGTCGACGTTGACGACTCCGTCGCACGGTATGAACGTATACTGACGGGAGCGGGGAGACATTTGGTCTGGTGAAAACTAGTTTGATAGTTATATTCCTTGTTTCACGGCCCCATTAAATCTTTGAGGGATCTCAGTGAGGAGGGAAGGAGTTTCTTTGCTCGTCCTTGGCAGAGGAGAGGGAGTCAATCACTTTTGAGTGAAAGGTGCCGTTATTATCTACGTTATCTATCTAGTTATTTACTTTTCGCGGTTTTTCTTTCCGTTTCTCTGGAAGGATTAGGTTGTACTAGAGGCAACCAGTGGGGGGAGTCGTATTTTCCACAAATTCTCCCACTGGCAGGACGTGCCCTGCAGGGCACATCATTGGTTGGGGATTTTAGTCGACTCTATACGACCCCCCCCCCTTTTTTTAGGGAGTTGGTACGACTCCCTCAGCCCTCTTCTATCCTTCCTCATCAAATCGAGCCGTCAAGTTTGCAGCCCAAATACAACCCCCCCCCGGCGACCAAATACGACCCTCCTTATTGGGGATTCCCAAACAACGACGTGCCCCGGTGCTCCCTGTCTGCACGACCCCCGTTCTCTGCCATAAGGAAATTGAGTTTGAATGGCGCGCGCTGTGCCTGTCTCAGGGTCATTTGCGCCGCTGCTGGCCGCGTCGCGGCAGGTGCAAGTCAGCTGATCGGCGTCATCGATTTTGTTGCGAAATATTGCGGAAAGGCGGAGCAGAGACGGGTCGGGCTTCACATAGGAGCGAACCGTTACGTGTACGGCTGGCTTCCTTCGTCTTTCTGATTATTCCGGTCAGATCCCCGTGACCTGCTGTCAGTTGGCCCGCGAAAACGTGCAACAGATTGGTCCGTTCCGTCTCTACCTTGAGTTGCACTTCCAGCGCTGAAGCTTAACGCATAGTATTTGTGTATTGGTTGTTGAATTCTGTGAAACATTTGCGTTTTGGAAGACTAGAACGATCGATCGCAGGTTTCCCTGTCGTCATCGGTTCTTGTGGCCAATTCCACTCTTTCGTAGTCGAGTCTTCTCTTCGTTTTCACCACCATCTCCGTGTGCCTTTGCTATGCCTGCTACGTTCTCTCTCATCAGCTGGTTGCCCGCTTTTTCTTTATGTCCAGCCAGTCACATGTGTGGTGTGTCTGCCGTCTTAGACGTTCTGTGTTATCATTTCCACCATCGGCGCCATCGTGCAGAGCGATCGTGCTCTGATCATACGCGTCATTCTCCTGTTCTTCCTCTGACTCATACGCATGTGTTTAGCTTACACTCTGGTGTATGATCCATGTATTTTCAGGCTAGTAATCATCATGAAGTGGGCGTATAAGGAGGAGAACAACTTTGAGAAACGCCGTGCTGAGGGAGACAAGATTAGGAGGAAATATCCTGATAGAATCCCAGTCAGTTTCGTTTCTCATTATTCTTCACCATTGCTTCTAAATGTTTTCTATTTGTCGGGCAGAGCAATAACCGTAAAGGTAATAATGCCGGGAACTGTCCTGTATTGTAGTATGTCCAAACAAAGTGACGTGCTTCAACTTGTTGCTGCCTCAGATATAGTTTCTGGTGTTACAGGTGATTGTAGAGCGGGCTCCAAAGTCTCGTCTGCGAGACCTAGACAAGAAGAAGTACTTGGTGCCATCTGACCTCACCGTTGGTCAGTTCTACTTCCTTATCAGGAAGAGGTGAGTGCTTTTTCTGCAATAAATTGTATGCCTAGGGCTTCTATTTAGGGGTTTATCTTTTGTATATTAGGCTAACGATAGTTTGTTGATTTTTCAGAATTCACCTTCGTCCTGAGGATGCGTTATTCTTCTTCGTGAACAACGTTATTCCCCAAACCATGACAACAATGGGGCAACTCTATCAGGTAGAATTTGATTTTGTGCGCATGATTGCGACAGCAGGGTATAGGAGGGTCCTGCGCTGCGCGCAGCTGGGTCGTGGCTGTATCGATCGTCTGTGCCTCATTACGCATTATGGTCGTGTGACCAATAACAGTGCCTTTCGTGATTGATGAAAAGAGAAATTCCGATTGGAACGCCATCGAATGGGGGCAGGAAATTTTTTCGGTTTTTATGGTCTGGTTCATAGATATCGGTGCATTTTCAAATTAGGTCAAGAAAATTTCCTGGTTCGCCTGCTTTAAGAAACCTTACACAATGCTGAGACAGGTATTGATCATTTGAGCGAAAGAGATGCCAACGTCTATTGAAACCGGTCTCTTTAGCCTGTCTATTTCTGCCAGCCGCGTGTCGCTTTGTTGTAAATGTGCCGTAAGACCAGTTTTATGAAGCAAGACTGCCTCCCGTCTTTGGTGTGTTGTTTTGTGATCACTGTGAGAGTAGTGATGAATCTGTGACGGATTTCCTCAGAAATTGTACCGTGGTAGGCAGCAACTAAAACAGCAGAGGGAAGGGTGACGCAGTTGTACTTGCGAAATTTGGCCTCGAAGCAAATTTGACGATAAGCGTGTAGATGACCCGTCAACCCGTCAATTCGCTGATAGCGTAAACATGTTTTCCAGAAGTCTGATCACGAGAGCACAATCAGCGAATAGATACTGAGTTTACACGTGTGTGGAAGCAAGTTCACTACAATCCTACCCTATATAATCCGCTAAGTTTGTCTGTTGGTGTGTGTGTGTGTTTGACCGGAAATTCATAACTTCCTTCAAAACAGCGATAGAGCGCTCAAACTGATAAGTGATGTAGGGGTTGGGCAGGAACACTATTGGTGGGTGGCAGGAAGTGATAACAGCTGATAAGATACCGTAGCGGGTCTTAGAAGGGGAGGATCACTAACTTTATAGAGCAGGCCACAGCAACTGTAGAACGTTGGTTCCAATAGGGAAGATGGAGGACAGGATGGGAACACTCTTGGTGGGTGGCAGGAAGTGACAACTGCTGATAAGATACCATAAGGAGCCTTAGAAGGGGAGGGTCACCAAATTCATAGCGCCGGCCACAGCAACGACGGGACGTTGGTCCAGTAAGATAGGGGGCAGGATGGGAACATTATTGGTGGGTGGCAGGAAGTGATAACAGCTGATAAGATACCATAAGGAGCCTCAGAAGGGCAGGGTCATCAAATTCATAACGCGCGTCACAGCAACTGTAGAACCATGGTTGCATGAGGCAAGATAGGGGGCAGGATGGGAACATTATTGGTGGGTGACAGGAATTAATAACAGCCGATAAGATACCGTGAGGCCTGATTTTACTTCATAACGTGCGTCGCAGCGATGGTAGAACGTTGATGCAGGAGGCAAGATAGGGGCAGGATGGGAAAGGTGGGTCAGAGAGGAAGCCTCCAGGTCAATGGGCAAAAGCTTAGTGAGCCAAGATGTTTCTATTAAATAGCTACATATATAATCGAAGTTGATTCGACTGCTAAACTGTAGGGTTTCACTCGAAAGTAAAGCCAAAGATGTTTGTCAGTGAGGATTGATAAGAGCCACCAGCACGGATACTCAAAGCTGCTCAACGGGAGCGCTAGGATATAACGAATTTTCACTAAGGTTTCTATATTGTTACCACCGAATTTCTTTCAACCGCTAAGCCGTCCTATTTCCAGCGAATGGTGGGTGTTTTTGAATGTGATAAGCACCAGACATTGGCAAACGTTCATTAAAAAGGAGAAATATTATGAAATGGGCCGTATTCCAAGACATAAGGTTAGGCCAAGTGTTAGCGATCAGCACAGAGATCCTAACAGTGATCAGGTACATACGTTTGACTATGCGCGCATTAGTGCGCGCCAGCCAAACTGGTGTTCTTAAAAGTGCGTTGGCTGATCTTTCAAAAGTTTGCATGGTTCCCGGCTAAAGGTGCTCAGTCCACGGTGGACTAAATCATACCAAGCTCGTCTAGCGAAAAGGCTGGAGAAGAAGGGAGGACCCAACCCTTAGCACGGAGGTTTCGACCGCCATATGTAAGAGTTCGCTTCTTGGCGGATCGGCATCGATTCACAGGTCTCTGTCAACCGGATTTGCTCTCGCTGAGAGGATCCCTAGGAATTT